GGGGCGGGGAAGGGCCGAGAGAGCCAAAAAAGGGCAAAAGCCAAATGGGTCTGCCCCATAACTCTGCCCCACAACCGCCCCATAGCTCTGCCCCATGGTGCTGCCCCATGGTGCTGCCCAGCATCCCCAGTTCTACACCTCATGTCCCCACGCCCCCAGTTCCCCCCATGTCCCCTGTGTCCCCATGGGCAAAGATGACCAGAAGTGACAGAAATGGCACCAAATGGAGAGCAGTTGTCAGAAATAGGCAGGAATGGGGATGGACCCAAAGGGAAACGGGCCCAAAGCGATGGGACTGGAGCAGGATGGAGAGAGCGGGCAGAGCAGCACTGGGGGACTCTGGGATCCCCGGACCCCCTTGGGCACAGAGCCCCGCTGCCCCAATGGGTTGGGGGGTCCCAGGTTGGGGCTAAGGGGAAAAGGGGCAGAAATGGGTAAAGAGGGAAAGGAATGGAAGGAAATGGGGAGAAAAGGGGGAAATGGAAAGAAATGGACGGGAGGGGGAACTGCAATGGGGGGAACGGGCAGAAAAGACCTGAAGGGAATGGGTGGAAATGGGGAAAAAGGGAAAATGTGCAGAAATAGGGAGAGATGGACAGAATGGACAGAGGAGGAAGGAGGCAGAAATAGGCAAAAAAGAGAAAAATGGCAAGAAGGAAAAGAAATGGACAAAAAGGAGCAGGAATTGTCAGAATGGGAGGGAATTGGATTGGGCAGAAGGTGGGAAAAGAAATGGAATAACATTGAGAGAAATGGTCCAAAACAGAGTGGCAGAGAATGGGAGGAGTGGAACATCAGGGAACAGGCAGCAAGAAATGGGCAATAATGGGCAGAAATGGGCAGCAATAATGGACAGAAATGGGCAGCAATAATGGGCAGCAAAGTGTCAAATGGGAGCGGAATGGGTGAGGAACGGAAGCAGAAATGGGCAGAATGGGGAACAGAACTGGGAAGAAACGGGTGAACGCCCGGCTGTGGCACCGCAGCACTGCCCCACAGCTGCCCCACAGCACTGCCCCATAGCACTGCTCCACAGCTGCCCCACAGCTGCCCCATCTCCCCACTGTCCCCCAGGACCTTTCCATGTCCCCACATCCCCACGCTCCCCCCCCGTCCCCATGCGCCCCATCCCCACGTGTCCCCCAGCACCCCAATATCTCTGTGGGGTTGGAGGGCTGTGGGGG